AGACTCAAATGTCCCGTCAGCGAGAGGTGCTGGGAAGGGCAGGGAAGCAGCCGGGCACCAAGTAAGGGATGGGCTAAAAGGCCCTCCCTTTGCACCTGGGAAGACAGCAGGGTCCTTCCCCAGGATGGGGGGGCTGAAGACATGCCTCCCCCACTGCCCAGGGGCTGCAGCACAGCGTGGAGACCTGCTGAAAGCTGGGTGGGGGTGCACATCCTGCGGCCAGGCTGTCTCCACGTGCTCTCACCCCCTCACCCCGGTGCTGCCCGGAGGAGAAGCCCCTGCCCTTTACCTGAGGGACACCCCCAGGTGCCGGGAAAGCTTGGGGCACATGACTCACCAGCACAGGGCTGCCCCCCCACCCCCTCGCCCCCAGGCCTGCCTGCCTGTGCCCTGCCTGCCCTGGAAGGAAGTGGCACACGTTGGTCAGCGTCGCATAGCATCTGCAGGGCATGGCGTGGCACCACGTGCCACGGCCCGCTGTCCTGCCTTCTGCCTGCAGAGCGCTGGGGTCCGGGTCCGGGTCCGGGCCAGGGTCAGGGTGGGGGGGGGGGGCCCCTGCGGGCACGCCTCAGAAACCTGTGTCACAGGAGAGAGAAAGATGTGCCTTAGCCAGGCTCCGGGCAATGGGGGGGCGTGCACCCTATGTGTGTACCCCATGCACACATCACCCTTTGCCCGGTCTGGCGCAGGGTGTGTGGGCAGCCCGCATGCAGGGGACAGGTGCTGCGTGCCGGGGAGCGGAGCACGAGGTTAAAGCATTAGGCTTGAAGCACCGTTAAGGTTAAGGGAGGAGGGGCTGGCTGGCCAGCTGGCTCAAGGGGGTGGGCGGTCAAGACCACTTGGTTCTTCTACTCTGCCGCAAATAACAAGCCTATGCCTGGGAGTGCATCGGGGCCAAGGAGAATTAGGCACTTGCTGCACATCATCATGCTGTAGCACAGACCCATGGTCAGTGCCTGGGTGTGAGGGTCCTTGCTGGCCTCGCTGAAGCTGGTGCCAAGGAGAGCAGCACCCGGTAGCCGAGCCCGCCGACAGCTGTGATGCTGCAGCGACGGCTCCAGCCACGCACAGCTGTCCGGCCAGGGCCAGGCACCCGGGCAGCAGAGCGGGGGCCCGTGAGCTCCTGCTACTGCAGATTATTAAATTACGATTTAAAAAAGTGGCCATTTGACGCCTCGTGGTGATCATCTGGAGTGGCTTAATATTGATCACAGAAGGACCGGGCCCTGGAGACAAGAAGATCCACGTTGCTATGTGTGGCTTAGCAACATACGAAATGTATTCAAAGGGAATAATGAAATTATCATGGGGAAACAATGCAGCCATCACTTGACGAGATGGAGGCAGCGGAGCCCTCTTGTTCGCCAAGACAAGAAAGCCCGTGCTTATTGTCTGCACAAACATGCGCACCCCTGGCCGTGCCCTCCTCCATAGATGGGTGTTATGAAGCGGTGCCGCGCGGGCTGCGTCACGTGTCGCTTTGTACAGCTGGGCAGGAGCTCGTTACGGGGGAAGCGCGAGGCCTCTCAGCATAAATTGAGTCCTTAGCAGGGGAAAGTCTGTTGTGAGGACCCTCAATCTTGTGGGGGTGGAAGCATGGGGGAGGGAAAGCACCTGGCTGCTCCGGCACATCAGGAGATCTTGCCTGAGCCCGGCGCAGGGTGGGACCGGGCCTGGGTTGAGGGTGCGAATGCTTGCCTTTGAGACCTGCAATGCGCTGGAAAGACAGCCCCAGTGCCAGCAGGAGCCGGGCTCGGGAGACGCAGCTGCCACTAGGCCTCTATACCCATCGCTGCCGTCCGAGCCATGCTGTGAGCAAAGACTCCAGCCCCGCAGGGTTAGTTTTTTCCATGGGACCAGGGCTGGGGCAGTGCATAGGGGTCATTTGTGACCATCGTTCATAGTTTCGTAGTTTCTAGGGTCGGAAGGAACCTGAGCAGATCAAGTCTGACCCCTGCCATGGCATCCCCACACTGCCAGCCCATG